CGTGCCATTATCCGTTTGTTCGAAAAGTCAAATTCGTGGCCTTCTGCCAGAATGTGGGTAGCGATCTGGGACTGTGGCTCACCTTTCTGCACTGCCTGTTTGCACTCCACTATTCCCGAGCTAAGTCGTCGCCCGGTCTGTCCTGTAAAATGGCAAGAGCAGTCGCAACATAGCACCTGATAAATGACGCCAGATTGCTTACCTACATCGAATGGTTCATTGATTTGCATGATTCGTGCACGCACAGTAGCTAGTGGGCGATGAGCAATTTCCACACGGAGCTCAGCAGTGATAAATTGGGTTGCTCCTGACACGTTCTAATGTATGGGATTGGGTGCCAGCGCGTTGGTGCTCCCCTTTAATAACGCGAATCACTGTGATTTGGGATGCGTGAAACTGCACCGTCATTCAGCGGAACAAGTTTTGTTGAGAAAGAATCGGGTACGCTGCCAACCGAGATGCATTGGATTTGCTGTGAGACCGACACGACATGCGATCGCCGAAAGCGACAACGATAGCGTACGATACAACGTTAACAAAGTGGGAGAGAGCAGTTACTGAGGGACAAATATACATGCCTCAAAAGAGAACGTGGTTAAACTTAGTTGCACATCTTATATGATCAATGCCAAAGTAAGCGTCAGTGTCAACTATGGGAGGTTGCAGAACGTCTCTGGGGCTTATTGGATTAAAAATTGTCAAAGGTCATCATTTTTTCAACTTGTGTTTTATGGTAGTGACGTGGGTTTAGCTGCAGGCAAGAAGGAAACACAAAATAAAGTAAATTTCGCCAGCTGCTACGCTTGAAGCAAAAAAATGCAAACTTTATATGCAAATTTCTTCGCATAACGAGTGCCTGATTTGCAAGTTGCTGTAAAAACGAAAGTAACCCTTTCCACACACGAGACACAAGAGCTATAATGTTTCAAGGAAAGGTGTATTTTGGAAACAGGAGGAAATGTATTCAGTACATGTTGCGGGTCTTCGTTAAAGAACAGTTAACATTTTAAAGTGCTGGCACAGTTATAAAGTCGTCTAGTGCGGGAGCTACTTGATTGTTCCAATTTGCGTCACACAGTGGTGGGTATAATAAGCAGTCGCAATGGCTTAATGGCGAATTGGCAACTGCAATTTGACTCAGTCCGAGGTCAGTTCGGGTCAGTCCGGTGTGCGTACTAATTACGGTTAATGTTGGTCCACATCTGTAGGTGTGTTGTTTATAACACATAGCTTATAGGTTTTTGTGCATTCCGGCCAACTCGATACGCCGGTTGATGCGTACATCATCGGAGTGCAAGGTTTTTAAGAAATGTTCGGCTTTTGGAGAGGCAAACTCCAACAATGTGTGTTTTGTCCCATGCAAAGGTGTGTCCAATGTGAAGACAATGCATGGCTACTTTGGACAAAAGTTCAAACTCTCCACTGCGAATAAGTGCTCATGGATGTGTAGGGGTCAATGCTGCTAAATGCCTACCTAACTCCTGGCGTCGCAGACAAGGACACTTAGAGCAGGACCTTGTGTGAATGTACTTTAGGCCTGCCTCTAACCAGACATAAACTGGCGCATGATACACTCATCACCCACGTCAGTGTGTACATTCGGGCGTTCCAATAAATAACCATCGAGGCCGCGAGAG